CAACTTTTTACGGTGGTGATTAAATGTATGTGATAACAGAATGATCAACAATCTTAAAATAATATTGTTATTTATTCAACTGTTAATATTTATCTTTTGAATATAAAACGTGGATGTATACACATTCAATACAACCAATCGATAAAAGAAAAGTATTATGTATTCTCTTTTAAATTCAAAATTACCAGTGGTCAAGAAGAAAATTTGTTTATGAAAAAATATAAATTTTATGTCAATAGTTTTTTCCATGAACGATTGAAGGACGTACCATCTGAGATGTTAAGCTCCAAGTGAAAATGTTGGTGTCCACCCAACTAACCTTGAATAAACTATAAAACATTTTTGTCGAAGCGAAGAGATATTTTGTACATTTTATGGAATATATTTAGTCTATTTAAAGGTGAACCGTACAGTAGTTTACATCATAGTTTCCTCCTAGGTGTATAGTGATAGTGATAATGGTGCAGATGGTATTTTATCACTAACCCCTCCTTGCTCCTTATCACTGCTTGTATGGCAGGCATCCCATGATAACACAGGACAAATATACCCACGTTCGTCTCCGTTAAGCCATATTATCATCTAGACTTCATGGATGTAGACGTAGACGCCTCGACGGATGGATTAGAGTTATTCACTTCCTCTGAGAAGATGTCTCTGGCGTCAATTCTCGCTCTATACTCCAGTAAAAACTATAGTTTATTTTCTGGATAGGACTACTAACTGGTTACTGTAGTTTTTATTGACTGTATTGAGACAGGGGCAAAATGTTGTCCTAACTACGAGCCTTTTATCTAGTCTTGACCATTTATCAAATACACAACTATACTATCATTTTATCACCTAACAGTGGCGTAATTCTAAAGAGCACAGAATCTTGTGCTCGCTGTGTAATTAGTGCTGAATAGAGATAGAGATTATTTACGTCGGTTGACACACCAGGGTGTAGAAGGTGTAGAAGTGAGTAAGATGGCTAACAAAAAGATTGACTTTTGATGATCATAATCCCGATTTTCCTCAAACTTCTACCGACCGTCTACTAAATGTACAGTACGTGATCAACTTTAACCACCCAGCTACCAAGAGAAAGTTGTACAACCTTAAACTTTTGCACATCTGCTTGAAATATGGCAGAATCTCAACCTCATCCTAAAAAGTCTTCGTGAGGCAGTAAAACGGATACAATTATTTTTCATGTCAGGAACGAAACTTCTGCAACTCTGTACAAAGAGGTAATTACTGACGTCGGAAATTCCAGGACATTTGCCATCAGAATTCCCAAGACTCACGTAGTATCTCTGTCATGATGTCTCTCTCACTCATGATGTCAGTGATGGTGATGTCCACGAGAAACGTGCTATGACATCATCTACTCTGACATTCACCGTACCTCTCCCACCGCCTTCTGAATTGCAGATCATCCGCCACAATGGCGCTTCGTTTGTCAACTTTTCACCTTTTAGGAAGAAGTCTGTTTGCTTTTTTTCTGAACGTGTCGGCAAATAACAGTTTTTTGAGTGGATTTTATGGCTATAGAAGCATTTTTGGACTCAACTATCAAGAAAATAAAGAAAAAACAATATTAAAAGAATTAAAAATGGCAATTTTTAAATATATTCTTTCATTTGACATTATGTTATTTGTTAAAGAAAATGATGCTCAAAAACTATTTTATTCACACTTAAAATAATATACAAATACACATACGCAACAAAAAAATTTCTCTTCAATTTTTTCCTTAAAAATTGGTTTTTCTTTAATTTAAAAATACAAATCGATGACTCATTAGGAAATTTAAAAACTCTATTAATGCAAGGAATAGACAAATATAAATCAATAATAACCAATAAGTATTGTTTTAAGGATAAATTCATGCAGAGGATGAACAAGTTGGAAGCTAAGTCTATATTTGGATCAACTGATATTATTTTACAGTTCACGTTTTCTTGACTGACGTAGCACGTGCCTAATATCCCGCGTCGAATAATAACTCTGCTGAAGACTCAAAGTACGACAGACCTATCTCTGTTGATTTCTCAACCGATTTCAAAACGTTGTTGGTACCAAACTGCTTGCTGCGTATAGTTTGGAATAAGACGTTTTATAATCAGAAACCTGTGGATTTGGATGTTTTAAAAAGCTTAGAGATTTAGATAGACGAATAAAGGGGACCTCACACCTTCATGACACTAGAAATTGTCATTCACAGTATTATTTTCCGATGACGACCGCCAATAACCTTGTCATGACGAAGTTATAATAGCAAACTTTGTGTTGCTCTGTAATATGCTGAACAGTTATCATTGGTATCACCGGAAACTGACAAGACTTCCAAGACCCACTGGAGATAATAACTCTGTGTTGTTCAGTAATTTAGGACAGTCATTGACTTTGTACAGGACAAAACCTTTTTATCCTATTCCGAAGTTTTTCCATCCTGGTTTTGTAAGTTGTTTATTGTTCGTTACATTTGAGTGCGCTGATGTTTGAAATGTAGATTTTAAAATTATTAACAATTGGTTACGTGGCTATAAATTACTCTCAACTGATAGTGCTGAACATTTTCGTTCGTTTGTATTGACAACAACCTTTCCTTGTTTCATAGACTACACTCATAAGCATTTCCAATAGTTCATTTGTGTGAAATGAAGCCTACCCTCTCATTGCGAACACCTTTTTAGTTGCAAATGGGCCGTTATATACAGTTCAAAATAGTTTTACAGCTGGTTAAAGATTCTAAGAAGTATACGCTGAAATCGTCTGATCCTAAACAAAACAGAATCTACGAGGGAATTAGTTTAATCTACGGTTTACTATAGCGAAAACAAACTCGGCAAACTTGTTAGTGAACAACACTATATAAATCACGAGATAATTTATAATCCAATAAACGTGACGTCGCGTCCCTCGGATGTGAACGTCCCCTCAGCCCTTGGAGGTGTCAAGAATGAAGAATTGAAAGGAGCCGCCAGGTATTGTGGACTCAGGCTGGCCAGGCCTAATTGCTAGGTGATACCTGAGTTCGTAGAAGCTACAGGGTGTCTCACAATAAACCTCCCCAACGGAGGGTCGCCCTTATGTTGCCACTCCAGCCATCACCGGCTGTCAACCGTTAGGCACTCAGCTGATGTCAAGTATCGCGTTGAGTACATCGGCAGTTAGGAAGGGTTGAAACAACCCAGTTGCTCTGCATTGATTAGCGTATTAGAATAAGCTGTTAAAACAGCTGTTACGATATCGATGGCATTATAGTAGGTTAAATACGCTCCAGAATTACTTTCGTATCAGAATTAGTATCCTTATTGATCAAAAGATTGCAAAGAGGTGTTTGTCCGGTGTAGAGTTTGTAGGCTTTTATTGTTGCCACGACCCAATAATTTACAAAATTATATTTGTAAATTATTGCTTGTCCAATGGTATAACTCAAATAAAGTAATTGTAGGTGTAAATTGTTTTCTTCCTTCGGGAAAGTAAAAAATAGTGCAAAGGGAAATGAAAATAGCATAAATAAGCAACTTTGTGTCAAAACAAAATAACAAATTTGGTATGTATGTAGTCCTAGGAAAAAACATATTTTTCGTAAGGGGATAACTCATATGCATTTGTTTTGGTAATTTAATTTAATTGGGAGGACCTTCGCTACTGGGCAGGGTTGCCAACTTAGGTTAGGGAAAAATTGGAACGCCCCCTCCCTACCGGAGAACTAGGTGTCGAAAGAAATCAACTTCAAATTTATGTTTGCGTTAGTTTTTCATCAACAATTTTACATTGCCAGTCGAAAATTCGCATTTCTCTCTCTCCGTCATGCTTGTAACTGTCGTCGTGTAGGCCCGAGGCACAACGGTCCGCTCACCCATGGTGGAAGTAAATACCGCCAAAGTGAATGCTGATGCTGAATGTCCGCGACGCGACGCCAGCCGCCACAGCTTTCTACGAGTTCGCCAGTTTAATCATGGCAGTCGTGGCTTTACCACTTTCTATCCACTTCCGCGGCTCGGCACCCGGAGAAATCTTTAGTTAAATTGATTCGAAAGTTCGTGATTGTCAGTTCTTTTGTCGCATTGAAATGTTGAAATGTTTTCACTCGAAGTAAAAGTGCGATTGTGAAGTACGTTTGAGACGGTAAACCATGAAATGCCTATCAGAAGGGTGATAAGCGATATAAGAGTAACGTGTGAAAGTTAAGTGGAGATTGAAATGAATCAGCCTCTATAATTTTTCTGACCAATTTGCGATTTCCTGGAGCATGTTTAGTCATTGTAGGTCGTGACTAGCTGTTGATTCATAATTGAGTAATGTAACTGAATGGTACATAAATCATTTGATAAAACATTCCAGAAATTCCATAAAACATACATTTTATTTTACCCAAACCTCCCTTGTTTTTCCTCAAATAACGTATGTACGAAATAGTGTAGATCTTAGATAAAAAATAACCAGAGATCTTATACTCTGCATATACTTAGACCATGGTAACACGTATTTTGTGTAGGAATCTACGGATTTGTATCAAAATCAGATAAACTGAAATTTCGTACAAAATTTCCATAGAAGTAATAAAAATCTATCGTGGACCAGCGTGCGTTTGTACGGCTTTTTTGGCTTAAACATGAATTTATTTCGTGTTCAATACATGGTGTAGATGAAGTCCATCGCCATAGTAAATATTATTGATAATGGTTCAATGTGTCTAAATATCTACCTGGATAAAGATCAATTCCAATCTAACCATTCCAGGCTTTAATAAAAACATTTGGTTGAAGTGGTCGATTGAAGCCATCTGCATACGTATCCATTTTAGCACGCAGGTTTACAATTTTGGTTTTTAAACCTTCTTTATGGAGTATATTTGATGAAGTTTGGTGACGGACATTACTGACCCATGGAAACGCGACCAACCCCGTATAATCAGTTGTAGATAAGCTTACATATACGTTGACAAGTTATCGCACTCTGAAACAGTTAGTGGAGGTGTGAGATTATTATCTGTTTTGTTGCAGAGAGATGATGATGAGATAACGGCATGGCCACCACCACCCCCGCCAAGACCAGAGACTCCGACTTCTGCTCTGTCAACTTCCTCACCTACTTCTTCCACATCTTTAACATCGTCTTCTTGGTAAGTAGATTCGACTGCTTGCAATGTTAAGTGAATTTAATTCGTTGTTTAAGGCCCTTTCATAATTTAGACTTAGTAAGTAAAGGTGTGGCTTGGTTGTGATGTGTAATACAAATTTTGAGCACAGGAGTTTATACAAGCAGCTACGGAACTGAAGAACGATCAAGAAAGTCTGTTAACCCCTTAGTATTTTCCACCTTTAAAACGATGGAACTTAAAAAGTGCAAGCTCACTATAGTTTTAACCGTCATATTTCTCTATTGGGGGAGGTCCTTTGAATAAATTCTCAAAAATATCTAATGTAAGCCAATACAGAATAACACCTTATTTTTAAGAAATTGGTTGAAACACATTAACGCAAACCTAAATGAAAAAACAAACACCTTTAATTTTAATCGTGATTTTTTAACACTTCCTCCACAACACAATACGTTCCACTACAGTGAAAGGAGAGGGAAACGGTTTCAAATTGCAAAAACAGTTAGAAAATACAGTATGGACGTAATCCTAGAGTTTTATCGGTTTATGGTTATTCGCAAGAGGAATACAGTACTTAGAAGGTTTCCACACTTTCCGAACACCCGGTAAGTCTCGGCAACAACTCAGCGCAGACTCAGTACTCCTAGCACTACATACATCAGCAGATTCAGCACCTGTGCTGATGAGAGGATTGGGTTACAGACACGTGCAGCTTCAGCACAGCGCGTGCTACGTAGCGTAGGGTGCTGGAGTTCTGTCATACGAGATCACTGGAGTAGGCCTACTAGAGTAGAGTACCATTCGGGTCTTAGGGCGCTGATGTAGTGGAGCACGTGCACTAGAGGACCTCTGGAACGTAAGACTGCGTAAGAGTGCTAAAGCGTTCGGAGCGCTAGAGAAGCGTAGCTCTGAACAGCAAGACCTTTGGATAGCTCTAGCTTTGGAGGAATGCTAGTGTAGAATTGTTGGAGTACTGTATAGTGGATGCCCTAGAGTGGCGTCTGCTGGAGAACAGGTGTGCCCAGTGGCTCTCAGACGCCCACGCTGTCTTAGGAATGCGGCGAACCCACTGTGAAGTGGATCTTGTATGCAGGTCTGACCAAGGTAGAATGCAGGCTGTTGAAGATAACAGTATGAAAAGAATATTTGATATGTTTACGTATTTAGTATCCACGAGTTGTCTTTATGAAATTAGTGTACGCAATTTAAGGTTGGCAAAGACTCAGATCTCGAGTTTTCAACATTTAAAAAATCATCCAAGGAGAAAACGACCTCCACACACAAAATGCATGCCTATATGCAGAGTTATGACTTTAATTAGACTTACACTTGTACCACAAAATAAAGCTGACTCATATCTTTGACAACATGCTCTCGAGGGCAAACTAAGAGTTGATTTGATCAATGCATAGTGAACCTCAAATTGTTTGCTATCAATGTTTCGATCTCCATTACTTTCGTAATGTGTAATTTGTTCTCCGTTATCCCCTGCCCCCAATACAATCTTGTTACTTCACTTATGTCAAACCCCAAATAAACATAAAAAATTTTTTCTCACCTTATATTGCAAAGAAGAAGCATTTTGATCGAGACACAGAAGAAAGCTATAATATAATACTAATACATAGCACATGGTTACTAATACGGCACACGTTTTAACACGTATTTATTACTGTGGGAATGTACGCTCATGGAATGCACGCCTGAGCGACGTTTTGAGGTTAGGTGTCAATGTTTACGGCACTTGGCCACGGTTTACAGTGCACGTGTGTGGCCGCCATGTTAGTAAACATTCCCGCCATCGCGGTCTCGGCTCGCCACTTCAGACACGTTCATTTATTTGTGGCAACTCCAATGTGTATTTGTGTTCAACATGCAACGGGTCAAAAATAGGCCAATGCTTTCATCTGTACAAGTGAAGAAATTTTTACCTGTGGCCGAAATATAAAATTATATCTTTCAAAAACTTTGATGAACTTGCTACAAAGCAATGACCAAGTTAAAACTTTGACGGAATTGATTAAAATGATGATTCACTCTTAAATTCATCTGAAGGACCTTAAAAAGAAAGAAACTTTAAAATTGTATTTAATGAGTTAAAATATATTAAAAGAATTTTAGCTAATGCAGTAGCTTTGGCTGTATATAAACTACCACATCGAAACCCCCATGTACAATCGAGATTGTCGATGTAAAATAAATGTCTCCTTCTAATAATGTATAGGCCTACCTACCATTCCAAATAATGTGAAACTGTGAAAGAGCATTGTATTCTAAACAAAACCAATAATACGACCTTAACGTTTCCTTGGCTATCACAGTCAGCAAAAACATCTGCAAGAGGACGTAGAACTTCAATACAGTACCTCTTTTTATGAGAGGTTCATCCAGCCATGTTGTGTAATGTCTTTCAATAAAAACAAATGCTGCAACAGGATTTCGACTTCAGTATCCAATGTCAATGGCTAACAGGATGTAGGTAGGTGGAAAATTATAATTTGAAGTACGTATTTGGAGGAATCAAGGACTATATCAACTATTGGAGGAACAGGGCTGAAAACGGGTTGATTATACAAAACAATCTTGACAAATACACATTCTCATTTACAACTCAAAGAACGTTTTTGCATATTTGTAAATGATTGTTCACGTAGTATTGTTTATGTCTCTATTGTCCGTTGAAACATGTCAATGACGTTTGCATACATTCACTTTATTGATTTGGCTTATGGTGAACATTGTGGGATCTGAAAAACTAAATTATCATGAATCTGCACCTCAATAAGCCGTGTCAACCTCAATCATATACGCACTTGACAATAACCATCACCTTCACCACGAAATGCTTCTGTTCTAGTACCAAATCTTGCTAATGAAAAACCAAATGAAAAAAAGGATGTCAATTCAGTAAGCGGTGTAAATCCTAATTCCACATTGGGAACAAAACGGCCAACCACAATATAATTCTTCTCACATCAAATGTTGTTCACAGTTTGAAAAAATTATACCACTGCACGCCGATGAGCGAGACATTTAATCAGACACTGGTGACTAACAATCTGGCCTCAGTAATTTATCAAGCCGAAGAGGGAAAAGTCCTAAAACAGACCCAGAAGACTCAACACCCTGTGAAGTCATTATCACTCTGTCTTGTACCAAATCTTCCGAATCTCAATAGGCTATGTCAGTTTTAATAACACACCCAAGTGACAAAAGCCATCAGCCCATGCAATTCATCTTGAAATCTCACCCATGTATATTTATGACGAGAGAAATAATTACAGCATAGATCAACTCTGACAGAGACAAATGTGCTGTTTACACTTGCTCAGACCTAAATCGACTCCGACACTCAAGACTAATGTTGACGAACAACCAATTCACTCAATTACCGCTGAAAGTCGACATTAGTTTAGCGGCGTGATTGAAGGCCCGCATAGCGGTGAGTGTGTGTGTTTGACACGTGCCAAGCATAGCTTGTGGGGCCCCGCTACTGAAGGGCCCCAGTCAGGACGTCACTACCCCGATGGGTCGAGTGTGTGTGTGTTTGACACGTGCCAAGTTTAGCTTGTGGGGCCCCGCTACTGAACTGAAGGGCCCCAGTCAGGACGTTAACCCAGATGGGTCGAGTGAGTGTGTGTGTTTGACACGTGCCAAGCATAGCTTGTGGGGCCCCTCTACTGAAGGGCCCCAGTCAGGACGTCACTACCCAGATGGGACGTCATTACCACACAATGCCACAGCCCGGAGTGAACCATTGTCTCACGGCTCGGTGATCCTGGATCAATGGGGATTATAACAAGCGTACAACTCCATTGCTGAGTCATACCACGCTCAAATTGGATCCGGATGATCATGAGTCATTTTGAAAGTTACATGCGGGCTCATAGACAAAAGTTACTTGTAAGTAGAAACACTGTCACTGAAACAACTGGATTAGTTACAAATGTGTGTTACTAGTGCCTATGCACTTTTTTAGTAAAATAGTGAACTCTATACCTACTATTAGTTATGGAAACAAAACTTTATTCTTCAACTCCGATTTGATTTCTATTCTATTCCATGTAATTGGCTGTTGCATAATGAAAACAACTATCGGAACTTAAGAAACCAAACTTATAGAGCAAACATAAAGACAGTTGAGGTATCTTTTTGATGTCTTGGACTCAAATGTTTACTAAAAAAGTGTCGATTTTGACTTTGGGCGTTCATGGTACATAATTAGGAGATGAAGCTATTTGTAAGCTGGTCTCGTAATAATTAACCGTTGTGTAAAAACAATTCTGTAGTTTGTGCGTTTACCTGATACAGACACTAAGTCAGAAACAATAATTTACTAATAAATATTGATTGACAATAAGTTAATTTGATGCGGTGATTTCTTAGTCTTCGACTACTTAATCGTATGGTGGGGATAGACATATATTATGATCAATCCTATAAAACCATTTAAAATCACTCGAAAATTGCTGTAAATTCCAAGACTACCTCCGATATTACCTCTAGAACAGAGATAAATAATTGTTGCTTTCATTTTATCTCTCCTTGGCGAGGTTTCCAATCTGAACTGAGGAACAGTGAAACTTAAGATTTCACTATAGACAATTATCATATCATAATTTATAGAAACTTCTTGTACATATTTTGGACTATGAATTACTTCACTTTATTTCTTTTTTTAAAGGGTTGGTGTCCTCTTTTAACCCGGCAATTAGCTAAAGTCACAAAGAGCTGTGTGTGGAACTTGCCATGGACGAGACGGTACAGTAAAGAATAAATTGTAAAGTTAATTTAAATTCGCTGTCGTTTTTGTACCGTCTTTCAATCTACTAAGCATACTCACAAGTCACTCTTTTACCATGTTTCTGTTTATACCACTTTTTTGAAGTATGAATCTAGAAAATGTATGTGAATCACTACAGTTTTATCTAAGCTATCTAAACGAATTTGTTCTTGTATTCAGGTGTACTTCTTAATAGCAAGGGATCAAGGCTTAGTGGTTTAGTTAAGGAAGAGAAGAAAATCTGAAGAAGTTTAAAGTTGGTTCTTCATGGGTTCTACTGTCCATGAAGATGTGTCTATAGCCCAAATGCATTTTCAGGTGGGGGGATGCAGTGACTTCCTAGCTACATTAAATGATTCCCATTCCAAATTATTTATTACCATTTTGAAAATGTATTTGAGCTATCTCTAGCATAACCTCACAATAATCAATAGGAAGGTCTTGCAGAATTTTTGAGTTTGGGTTACAGTTGATTTGGGGCCTCTCTCTAGAATGTTAATTACACCTCTTTGGTTGTTCCAGCTATCAGGCTGTGGAGTGTTGGCTGTAGGTCTATGGTCAGTGATCTACAAGCACCAGTACGTCTCCCTGTTGACAACCTCCACCTACGCCCTCACAGGGTACGCCCTCGTCCTCGCTGGAGCCCTCGTCCTCCTGGTGGTCGTCCTAGGATGCTGCGGAGTGTGGCGAGAGAACAGATGTCTTCTGTTGGTGGTAAGCCGTGGCCATTGTTCTAGCGTTTTGCATCCCTTCCATAGGTATATTGGTAAACTTATATCGAGTTTCGGTTAAGTTGTGAATGAAAACGACCAATCTGTAAGGCTAGCAATTTCTACTTGCTAAAATTGCTAAACTTCGAGCGATCCTGACAAAAAGGTTCACTCACAGGTTTAACTTACTTGAATAAATTTTTTACCTTGAATAGATTCGAAATTTGACTATTCAACATGATTTGTCCATACAAATCGTTAGTTGATTCTGATTGGGAAAGAACTTTATAAGAAAAACCAACTGAAATCAGCATCATATTGTTGAATTATTGTGATCTTTGCTATTTTCTTAAAGACTTGTTGACTTAATTCTCTTAACAGGTCTATTATTCTAGATCTACACATGAATTAACGACGGCATAGTTAGTAATGGCATAGTTTAATATTGAGAGAGGTTAGAAATTTTGTAACAGAAAAAAAGACAAAAACTAACATTAGTCAAAGATTGTGTTCTTATAAAATGTAACAATGCTTTAGAGGGGGAAATCGCAACTTTTAAAGATAGGTGTCAAAATTAAATAACAGTTTACGTAATCGTAGATAGAATTATTGTCCCGTAAACGTACTCAGACCACTACCACCATTATACTTCAGGTGTAGGTTTTTCCCATCTTGCTTAGCCAAAATATGGCAATCCTAATCAGATAAGGTTTCTGCGTCGACCTTCAATCCAAGCAAGATGAGACTCAGCGTTCAACAGAAACCAAACACTTTCTCAGCACCGGAAGTAGAAGATGGGTTACTCAATATCCGGTCTAGACGTGGCGTCAGCAAACCCCTGAGACTCGAAAAAACAAGTAAAACATCTAGGAACAAAGAAGTAGTTTATAGTGACGAGATGTTACTTTGCAGTAAATTCAAAGTTACTGTTTATACAGTACCACTGTGGAGAATATCTTTCTTGTAAAACAGGTAGAAAACAAGTAAAACATCTAGGAAGTACAAATAAGTAGTTTATAGTGACGAGATGGAGATGTTACTTTGCAGTAAATGCAAAGTTACTGTTTATACAGTACCACTGTGGAGAATATCTTTCTTGTAAAACAGGTAGAAAACAAGTAAAACATCTAGGAAGTACAAAGAAGTAGTTTATAGTGACGAGATGGAGATGTTACTTTGCAGTAAATGCAAAGTTACTGTTTATACAGTACCACTGTGGAGAATATCTTCCTTGTAAAACAGGATTAAAACATGTAAACCAGCTAGGCAGTACAAGTAGAGAAACGATGGTGTGTGTCTAGATGTGTACACTGAAGTTATTGTGTGTACTTCTGTGAAAAATATCTTTAGTCTCTTGCAAAAAATGAAAAACACCTAAACCGAGATCGCTTACCCTATCAGAAGATCGCTGGTTTAATCCTGAGAAAAGTCAGTAGTTTTACGATGGTTCCAGGTGTTGATGATATCTGTTTTAATAAATAATGGTCCATACTACATACACAATATCTGATCTTAGCCAGTAAAGCTACATAGTTAACCTTTGTGGGGTTGGACCACGGTTGAACACATGTATTCGAACTTGATTTAACGTCCATGCATTTTATCAACGATTGAAAATTTCAATAAAGTCTGTATCTGTAAATATGAAGATTGTGTACTGTAAGAATTGAAAATAAGATAAGCATCTACGAGAAGGAATTAGTTGGCATCGTTTCTCCCATTTATTATCTCAGCTGACAACAATGTATATCTGGGCCAGCTGGGCGTCCCTAGACTGTTTATAAACATCATCCTCTTGTCGCTGTCATTGATCTTCAATCAGCTGATTTCTTATCTTCATTGTTGCGACGTTACTCACGATATAAACAAACAGCTGATCGATCACCTCGTTAGATGTCTTTGAAAGAAGCGGCTCTGCACAAGAGGGTTGCTCACAGCACAGTTATATTGTCTGTGCTCACAGTGTGACGTTTTTGTTTAGTGAATGCCATTCAAAGTGGTGGATAATACAGCAAATCAAATAACAAAAAAGTAAATTAACAGTAAATATTGGGCATAATAAACTTGACAATTTTACACTTTCTATCATAAATCAAACGAAGTTATAAACATTACCAATAGTTGACTATTAATCATACTATTGTAACATCTAAAAATTGTAACATTTTATAATTAAAGCTTGGTTTGATATACGTTTCATGTTAAAGTGCTTTAGTCGGCAAAGTTTTTCCTCGTATTTTACAGTAATTATTAAATATGCATTAAAGTCATCCTATTTGAACCATGAGAATTAGAAATCCATAAAATAACATGTTTATTCTGTCCATTAAACGGTAAATGGATGAAAGCCTAAAAAAGAAAATTAACCCCACTATTGATCCAACAGAGAACAGACACAATTAATTAACAGTCACCATAAATCTTGATGAACCCATTGATTAAGACTTTTAATAGATTTGTTGTTGGGCAACTTTGTATCTACTTTGTTTCACGAGAAGATGAACAGTGTTGAGATAGAACATTAGTTTAAGGTTATAATATAAATTTACGTTGTAATTGTTGTAATTTTTTTATTATTATTAAAATACTCCCTGAAGTAACTCACATTCGTAAAAAAAGAAAAATTCCAATGTCACGCGTAGTATGTGATGCATAAAAAGTATGATGTAATGACATGACATCATATTTCACACTCGTGAGTTAGATCTTAAATGTTTTTAGATTCTGCATAATTTGTATTTCAATTGGAGTTCCGGCATATAGTGCGAATGGAGTAATTTGATTGGCTGGTCCAACAGGGACAGATGGCAGGTGCAGATATTCGATATTTAAACTAATTATAAAATAAAACTGTTATAACCTAACCTAACCAACCAAACTTGCTAATAATGAACAATACTGTTCAATGAAATGGCGACCATACATAGTAGGTATTTTAAGCCAAGTATGAATGGAGATGAGTGTAGTATGAGTGGCGCGATCTTGTAGTCTTGTAAGTGACCAAGGCCGACATTCCTTAGACACAGCTGTTAATTAATAGCTTATACAGCTAATGGCGACTAAGGGACCTAGTGGAATCCGAACCACGTTTTTCCTTGGTATATACGAATTGGTCTAATGATCAGGATAAATCGAATGAAGCTAATCGTAATATTTTCAATCAATACTAGGACAGCCCATAAGAAACTGTACCCAAAGTCATGACATCATATGTATGTTTTGTCATATCTATGTATTGGTTTGACCGATATGAATAAATAAGTTACGTCACTGTTGGATCAGCCAATCAAAAGACTCCATTCACAAGCCGGAACTCCAATTGAAATAAAAATTTTGTTTCTTGGCAGAGATTTGCACACAGCAACTGGCCATAACAGAAACAGAATGTTACTTAGCGGAATAAGTGATAGCATAGCATCGTTTTGTTGTAAGATTTGTGAGGTTAAGACTTGACTGTTTCTGAAGGATATTTTTACCCGGTGTCTGGCTACTATCACAGGTATATATAGTCAATGCTATCACAGAAGCCGTTATCACAAAGCCTTGTGAGGTAATCCTCAGACAGCTCAGTCTCGTGTGTTTAAATATACCCACCTTGCCTCATATAAATTACTAAGCACTCGAGATATCACTGGGTAAATGACCTCACATTGTGTTCTTATCTACCTAGGTTTAGTAAGAATGAGGAAATCATTGTTGGGCAATTATATGTGGATGTTAGCATAGCTTTGAAACGTAGCAGATCATGCGATCATACGTTCTAAGAGTGTGAACTATCGTGTAGTAAATAATGTACATTTACTAATGAAGAGTCGTATATATATTTGCACCAACTTTGAATATCTTTGCAATCCTATTGCAGAATGATACAACTTTTAATCCAAGACTGGATGACAAATGGAGTCTAGTTTGACGGATTTGTATTATTTTCATAGCAACGGAAACCAATTAAGCCATTTTCACAATTAGACTCCACTGGTAATCTTAGCCAGGATGATCAATACAAAATAATACATTCACATAACTTAATCACGTTGGTTAAGCCAATTACACTATCTGGGAGGCAAATGATTTGCTGCATACCAAACAACACCTCTAAATGTACAGGAAATTAACAAGTTTTCAACAAAGCCGGTAAAAAATACGTAACAAAATTGCCATACCTCAGGAATATTTGTTCAGAGTAAACCGTAAAGGTAACCTTGCCGTTTTACGGTACACGTTTTTTCATAACCGTACATTTCGCCGATGTACAGGGTGTTTCACGTCGGTGGGGTAAAGTCTAGCATAAAACTTTGTAGTTGTTTTAGGATATGTCGTTTTTGAAACACCCTGTATTTTCTCTCGCAATGTCTACCAGAATACGTCTGTTCGACGACATGTTTACGATCGTCCAGATATACCTCGGTCACAATGCACGTGTTCAAAGACGTGGCGACCAGAGATGTGGGCGTTTTATGGCAAGGGTTCCGAAGAGTTTTATAGTGTAGTAAAATCATAATTAGCTCCGTTCAAAAGTGAACAGACTGATCAGAGATGGAGCGGTTGAAGAATTTAGTCACATTACCAGCTAGAGTATTCTTGGTGTTCAAGACTGGAATCTCTAAGAGATTTAGTTTAAGTTTAAGAAAGACGAAACACTGGATTCGGTATCATTGTAGGTACTTGTTGATCACTTAAATGTATTTTTCTGCCGAGAGGACGTACTGCAGAGGAAGGTTATGGCCGTTTACAAATCCTAACTCTAAGCATAGGAGGGACACGTTGCGTAAATGGCTACTAAAATAGGACCATTCGTTTGGAAACGGTAGTCACTAAAAGTTAGTTTTATGCTAAAATTGTTAAAAATACGAATCAGCAAGTATTTCATTCCGTTCAATACGTTATTTGAAATTACATTAGCACTAAAATAAAACAAACCTTGGGTGGCTGCAATATCCCAAATGAATACAGTATTGCTGGATATAGCTGAGGGAATAAAGTGTTCGCCCAAGAACCTTAAGATCGACTGATCATGAAAAAAGTCAGTACCTTTTAAATGATTCCCAACTGGATCCTGTTTGGCTTTGAATAGCTTGAGGTGGAAGAAACAGTGTAAATTAGCCATTAACAAAGTAACATATAACACTCCTCTCTACACTCGCCGACCAATCATGTTCTGCTGAGCTGAAAATGCTTACAAAGTAGAACGTCGCTTTGCTGTATCAGTGAAGCCATTAAGGATATAGTCCAGTTCAGTCAGGAATCCAGCAATATGTTGTAGAGGAACAAAGGATTTAAAATATGGTATACGTCGACGTCTGCTTTCATTTTTATTTTTTACTTCCTACTTCCCTACGGCGAAATAAAACATCTTGAACGACAAAAATCTACCATGGTGATAATATTAAGGGGAAATATTAAGGCGGTATCAAATTGTTGGTACACGCTGCATATCCTTTTGTCGATCAGGAAGGTATGCAAGTAAATTAAATGACACTTTGTATCTTGCTTTATGAACCGTTGAAATCACGTTTTGAACCGAGCGAGCGAGAAAAGAGGTCGAAAGACTCACGGTTTGAAGCGGTTCACTTCACATCTGCGACGAATCCGTAATGGGCCGTCGCTGACTTGAAACCACTTTGAATCGCTCAAATGTGGAATACAGCTAAAAAACTGTTCAGCTGAAATGTAGACGGGACAGTAGAAATACTCCTGGCTCAGGAAACATGACGATTTTCCACGTTCCTAGTTGATAGAAGTAGGCCTACTTGTAATTCAGTTTAATAAATAATGCCATATGCACATCAATGCTAGTGTATTATAAAATTAGCTCATTCACTATCATCATTGTACTAAGTACATAGGACATGGGCACACCACGTATTAATTTGTATTTAAGCCTGAATAAGGGTGGCATAGTAGAACAGAGTGAGGTGCTTTGTGCATATCTGTTGCTGACTAAAACAACCTTTTATTTAACCAAGACCACTTTTTAATTATAAGCCCAACTATCAAGAAGAGCTGGTTCGAGATTCGAATCATCAAAAACTGCTTACCGTTCTCTGAATTTAACCGGTAACCAACTGATGGCCTGGCCAGCCAGTAGCTTCTCGGCTAAACCCTCAGCCTTTAGACTAGATCTTAAACCTTATCAGCTAACAAAACCCCCATAGTCCATTTTACACTCACATTTCACTCATATTCAGGATAAATACACATAATTGTTTCTCTGTTTCAACTGAATCATAAAGTGATAGAATGATGAACATTCTCGTAGTTTGCGTTTACACAAAATAAACACACATACACATATAGAAATGGCCGATTTTTTAACAAGTGGTAAAAAAGATCAACCACTCCACCAAAGCCAATTTCATTCACATTTGAAACAATGGTGCTATCCCTGTTTAGAAACTAAACACTCTACAGTAAATACTTCGTAAAGGAGCCAAATCTCAACAATCCCATGCAGATTCTATACCAAATACAGCTAATTGACTACAAGAGATACAGATAACCCAGTTTGCTGGTTGGATGTGGGATAGTGGGGGTGGGGGGGGGGGGGGGTCAAAGTAAAGGCCGGTCTACACGCAAGGATTTACCGTACGTTTTACCTGCGCAAGTAAATCGTTGCAGTCAAATATTTGCGTGTAGACCGCAAAACTGTGCATTTTAAAGAACTGCGCGGAGACGGAAGACGGAGCGATAAAACTATTGCGGAGAGCATAGTTTTGACAACGTTTTCAGGCAACTCGTTGCGTGTGGACACTGTCATCCGTTTCAACTCCGTCTTTACTCTCAAAACCCCAGTATGCAGTGTTGTCTTCACGTGCTGTCAGAGGTATAAATGTGTTTTTTAATTACGATCGCAGATCTTCGCCAATGTTCCCGTGATTTTATTGTTGAATTCATCGAACTGTCCAGAAGTGTCCTTAATTTATGGAGGGTCAAGAGTAAGGAATATAGTGACTGTGATAAGAAAAAAGACTTAGATACTTTTGAAAAATACAAAGCAGTAGATTCAAACATGAACAGAGAAACTATTATGAAGTTTGCTGTCTTTTTAGTAACCTACGTCTTGACCATACGAGCGCCGTCGTCTCTCAGACTTATTTCTTTGCTTACTTGTAACACTGGCTGCAGAAATTGCCAGCAGAAAACACATCTTCCATGATATTATATGCACATACACTGAAAGTTTTCACAAAACTGCACTAAAAGTTGGTGCTGAAACCTGTACCGTGTGGACGCATTTCTTTGCAACGACTTGACTGCAACGTTTTACCTGCGCAGATAAAACGTTCGCGAAATCCTTGCGTGTAGACCGGCCTTAAAAACCCCGCTTGTTAAGGTGGCATTCCTCGTCGCCATATCCCCCACAAAGCCCCAACACGCCTTATCCGCACAACAATACATCATTCGCTAATTGGCTCGATGGGATCCACAGGCAATAAAGCCGAGAGCTCAATATTATGGAAATGAAATCAGCTGCGGTCGTTCTGCAGAAATGCAACGGCCTGTGAAATGTTTATGTGCCATTCCAGGGGGAATGTTGGTCTACTGGAACGGTCCCATTTGTTTTTCAGCTCATTTGGTTCTTTTTCTCGTGTTTGCGGTGCGGTTCCGAGCAATGGGTCGGTCTATGAGGTTGTGATTTCATTGGATTACGCTAAATATGTAATTGCCGTTTGGGGCTTTTTCTCCAAATTTATATCATATATAATTCATATCATGCATGTTTTCTCAACACGCATATTCTTTAGCTTCTCCAAAAAAAGCGAGCATAAAAGTAGGCTCCAAACAACTGGGTCGAAGAATCATCACATGGTGGGAATTTACATAGTGGTATAAAGTAAACGCTAAAAGTTGCTGATGGATTGATGTTTAATGGGATTTTTTACTATTGATTACTTTCAAGTATTAACCATTGATGTCTGGTGATATTGACCTTGTATTACAAGCTATTCCAATGCTTTGATAAATAATGTGTTAAACCAAGACATCCCAAACGGTTGGCGTATCTTCACCAGCGTCCGTCTATTTGTGGCAACACTTTAGTCGGTTATCTCTGGCACTCTGACTGAGCGTGTTCGTGAACGTGTCGAGGCGTTCAAGCGTGTACTCTCATTTGTATAACCACAGCCTTCCTCATCTCATCAACGTGTGTTAATTAAGCCATCGAGGAGGCCGTGCTACGGCGACACTGTCAATGATTAACATTAATTAGACGCAGAAAAAAAATACATAGAAGCTGGCTGAAAGGTTTTGCGATTTTATGTTTTACATCATACAGAAGGCTACTTTTAATAAGAACTTTATCTATCCGTGATTATGATTTCTGTGACGCAATTTTGATTTGGCAATTATGTAGGATTCCTTATCACATGATTAAACTTATCAAGTTGACGTAATTTTGCAGTCATCGGTTTCATCAGAACGGTTACGGAATGTTTGGAATCGAGTGTCACTGTAGTTGGCTTGGAATCGAGTGTCACTGTAGTTGGCGTGACAAAATGGATGAAAATAAAGATTAAGACTAGCTTTACAAATACTCGTATTGTATCCTTCACATGAAATTTCTTAGGGGAATACGTGAATTGGCTCTTTACTTACCAAGGCGAACACAATTAAAATGTATCACGCCTTGCCTGTTGTTAGAGTGATTTGAGATACAAACATAACTTAGTATGTAGTTATTGTGCTCTTTAGTTATCAGAAGGCTACCGGTTCAATCCCTAAAACAGTTGATCTTAGTCAGTAAGCAACAAAGCTATAATCTAATTCATTTAAAAATCATCCTCAACTCAATCTCAATTCAGGTTAAAATATGCATAATTTAATGGTGTGACTGCAAATCTAATTTAATCCTATTTAACCTATTGAATCTAATTTATTTTGTGGTACAGTACACGTTCCTGTTGCTGCTGATATTCCTGCTGGAGGTAATGGCAGGACTCCTGGCCTACGTCTATCAGGCTCAGATAGATGACGAGTTGTCTCACACCCTCAACGCCACCTTCCTGGAGACGTACAGGATCAAGAACGAGCAGACGGCTGCCATAGACAGAATGCAGCAAGAGGTTTGTGTGTGTGTGTGTATTTTTCTTTTAACTCATTGAGTTCTGGGCCAATTCGTCAGGCAGAAAAGTAATAACTTGCCTTTTGTTAACCCAGGCCCCCTTGGGTGTGGAGGTGGTGTCTTATTAGATTACTTACTACATCCTTGGCAAATTTCAAGTCTCTAGCATGTTTCTAAACGGTTCAAATCATAATTCCAAAGTAAGCCACTTTCGAGTTTATTCGCCATGTCTCCCCAAACCAGAGAAAAGTCTGAATTAAGGGGTTGTGAATGAGAATTTATTTAGCCAGTAAATATTTCATGCTAATTCGGCAGTATCGATATGTCAAATTACAATTCCGGCTCTGTTAGTTCAGGTGGGCAACTCATTACGAATGTACCTGCCTGTATATGGCAGAGCTATTCAGCTATTGATGAAACATTCAACATTATAAGTACAGTTACAAAATGAAAATACATCTTAATTTTGTTTTCCTCATTGTGGCCATGAAGGAATTAGAAAATTTAGAGCTTGATAGTTCCTATAAGGGAGGTCTGATATACAACTGTGGGCGAAAATAAGAAAATATGTCTTCCAACCTGAAATCCTCCGCAAAGATGCTCCTCCCTGTTAAGTGCAGGAAGCTTAAGGCTATGTCAATGTTATATGGTCTATTCCTCTTCACAGTTGGAGTGCTGTGGTGTCAACAGCTTCGAGGATTGGCAGTATTCTGTATGGAAGCGGCAGAGTTCTGAGGCTCCTGTGAGAGTTCCAGACACTTGCTGCCTCAGTCCTAGTCCAGGCTGTGGCCGAAGCATCAACCCCAGCAACATCTTCTATGCGGTACGTAATACACCAGTAAACAACTTGGAGACACTCTCTACATGGTGTCCTAGTTATTGTATATCGTATAGGTACTCAAATAATGTCTAAGCTCTAACAAAATATCATAAGGCTACAACCCATGTCAATGGTGGTTTTAGGAGGGAAGCCACAGGGAATGCTCCTCCGAGAATACTATTCTGGAGCCGCATCTGGCCTCAACCAGTCAACTTTTGATGTTAACTCAAGCTTTTTCTTAAAGGATAGTACTGAACAGGTGCAATTGTGCTCATGAAAAAAGAGAGATCTTTGTAATAGCATATTGCGTTACTAGTCCGGACTGGACGAGTGTGGTCGTGGGATTACCATATGAGTCCAGTAAACACATTTTGGACGAGAAACGTACAATATTTTTTTCCTACAGTCACCCGACAAAGTGAGCTTCCTTGCACAGGTTATAGTACAGAAAGCCTTACTTTGGTGCACAGTTTTTACTTTGGCGCACACCAGTATTCCAACCAAACAACACAAAACAGCGTGCTTTTATTAGGCACGTAATACGTGAGAAAATAAGTTGGCAACACTTAAAGATATTACGCCTACGATCAGCTGGTGCAGTGTTTCCCATTTCGTTCAATGTTTGGATTTAACCTAACTTAAAAACGTGTTGTATAGTGTTTGAAAAACTAATTGTTTATATGATTTATAGTAACTGTAGGAAAAATATAATGTGTAACACGAGTGCAAACTGCCTTTGCTGCACTCAAGAAACTTTCCAAAAGTAAACATTCCAGTAAACATTTCACTCGTGTGCAGCAAAAAATGCCACTTTGTCCACTAGTTACACAAATTACCTATTGCCATGCTACTCTATGCTGACGTAAGAATAAAAAAAAACCTGTTTAAGTTATATATTCGCATCAACTTAACGACCAACAATAACTACTAAGAGAGGTTAAGTTTTTGTTTATAACCACTTCTTCCCAAATATGATCAGCTGTTGTCCGGTAAAAGCTCATTACAGTACAATAGTACATAATGAAACCCTATTTGATTAAGCTAGCTGTTGGCAAAAAGCTGTTTTCCGGACTAATTTCATGCGTGGAAACTGGAAAGTCTATTAAAACAGGGTAGTATGGTGAAAAAGAATTATTTGATCACTAGAGCTTGAAAGACTTAAATGACCTAAGTTTCATATAGGAAACTTAGGTCATTCAAGTTTTTGAAACTAGAATAGAAAATAAAAAAATATAGAAACCATCTAGTCCATAGGTTAGTTATATTGATAAATTAATAACTACAGTGGAACCTTGATAACAAGTGTCATTTTCTTATTCTCTAGAATTTAGGTTACCTTCCCCTAACATAAAGGTTCTACTGTAAATTCTTTGAGTGTAAGTATTCTTCAAGCTTTAATTATTCTTTGAGGTACCACCGGTACAAGTATTCTTTGAGGTGTATGCCTTCAAGTGGTCCACTGTTTATCTATCTTATGATCTGCTTGTACAGGGCTGCAAGGACGGGTTTGTGGAGGTGTTAGTGGAGCAGCTAAACATCATAGGAGCGGTGGGTCTGGGTCTCTGTGTGATCCAAGTCTTCGGCATGATTCTGTCCTGCTGTCTCTACCTCAAACTTCGCTACATTACCGACTACGTCTGACTTCAGAATCTTCAAGATTCCGTCCACCTGTACTTAGTCAGTGGTCAGAGACATTCAGAGATCACTCTAATCCGTCAATTCTGTCATTGATGTTTGCTTTATTTATTTTCATTAAAAGATCTTCGCAACGCCTAGTGTATGTGTAACAGTTAGACTAATAAGGAAAATGTAGCTTGTTATCTTTGTTCCTTTATGTTTAATGTACTAACATGTAAGTTCTCTTGAAGTGTATATATGTAGGGAATATATGTGTAAATAAATATACCAGTAACTGAATTTTGTAGTATATGTGTTTTATTTTGTAATCTTAGTCTTTGAAGGATGGGTACTTGTGTGGTATTGGTGTTATCTGGCAATGTTATAGAAAGAGCTCCTACCCTCGTCTCTTGAGCTACTTTATTGGATGCAAGATTAACTCTACTTCCACTTACTACAATCTTTGCTATCATATCTCATCCAATAATCTAAAATCTTATATCTGACTAAACTTGTTCTGCAGCCAGGGATTTTATTTAATTTCATTTTTTATTTTTTTATTTTGCCGTGATCACGGCTGATGTTAATATTCCCATGATAGCGGGAGATGTTGACGGATCACGATTCAGCCCCGATCGTGGGTGGCGATAACGATGTCCCCTTAATAGAGGGAAATGTTCACAATTTTGCTTTGATTGCAGGCAATTCTTTTTGCATTTCTTTTCCACCCACGACTCCTGGCTTGATCCACCACTGATCATATTAGACAAGACAATCAAAGTCTTAGCAATTATCACCAAGTGTCATCTCAATTAAACATATTTGAGCAACAAAAACTCCATTTTTTTAAAAGTTTTGAGAGCTGTATGTTCGTGACAACCAAATATTTAAAAAAATCTTTTATTTGTTCTTATAAAAATCGTACTTACATGTTTAATGGACACACAATAATATACCAATTGTGATGTGGAAAGAGAATAGGGACCTCATGTCGGGAATTTTTGATTTTGAGTTTTATATATATTTGCATTCTCTATTAAATTCCGAATCAATTGGCGAAAGTACCACGCATGTATGATTTTTTTTTTGTTAAAGTTATAGAACTTTGAAATTTTGTTATAGAAAATTGTCATTTTGAGAAAAACTTATTTAAAAATTACAAATACCCGTAAAAACGGTGTTTTTTGTATTCAAGAAACGATTGTGGTATCAAAGAAAAGCTTATAATGTCCTCTTTGGAACTAATAAAAATTTTTGTCTTAACTCACGGTAGTTTTCATTCAAATAATTGTTTTATTGAAGCATGTCGTAAAAATTGCATTTCAGAAAAGGGACCTCTTGTCGGTCCTATGTTATTTCTCCATAAGATAAGAAAAGGTACCTCTTGTCGGGACCGCAAAATTGGTGAGATATTTTGTTCTCCGTGAACTGAACTTTGTTGTTGTTTTCTAAATTTCCACTAGAATGCAGGACAATTCATTTTTTGGACTAAAATCTGTTTAAAAAGTGAATATTAGAAATGGGACCTCTTGTCGTTATGGCGAAATAGCATTGAGCGACAAGAGGTACCTTTTCTCAGACCGTGTAGAGGCTAACAAAATGATTTATTTCGACCTTTTGCATCTTCAATTCGATATTTTAACCGATACTGTCCTGTGTTAAATGAGAATAATCGATAAAACCCAAAATTCAATATTTTCGACCTTAATTACTTATATTGGCCGTACTGAAAATTTTGCATCTCCGACAAGAGGTCTCTTTTCGCTTTCCACATCACAATTTATAAATTATTACATTTTTAATATCCTAATATAAGTACCATTAAACCTTTGGGCCATTTTCGTAAAAATAAGTTTGTGTGCCTCGTGTTAAGAATGAATGTAAAATTCCATTGGCACTCAGAAAAATCCACAGTTGGGTGGTGAAAGGGCGGCAAATTTAGAACTTGCCCCCTTTCCCTAGAAAGATTTGTAGCTGCTGCCCTGGTTGTTACAGGCTTAAGTTACGTTCGAATACTGAATTGTATACATAAGAAACAAACAAATAATCAAATCAATCTAATAGAGGAAACACCTAATTAATTATGGTGATATTTTAAGAATATACATTAAGTCAGCTGAAATTCTTAATGTTTTGTCAGATTTGTTAATTTATTCTGTTTGTTCTTTGTTTGAAGTGCATTGTTGGTGATGGCGAGTTAATGTTGTTCAAAGGTTTATTGGGGACATTTTCCATCACGATGGAAAGTACCATCATTTTTTACCATCGTGATGGAAAATGTCCCAATAAACCTTTGAACAACATTATTCTGTTTGATTGTTATTTTAATTCTAGGATCGGTTTTGCTTAATAAAACCTAAGTTTTCTTCTGAAAAGGTTTATTAAAATTTTAGTTTGATTATTACAATATTAGGCTATGAGGTACTGAGTAGGAGGATGAGTTTGGCAGGTCATATAATAAGAAAAGAAGACAACGCTTTACCAAAGGAAGTACTGCAGAACCACCCAGAAGTAAGAAGTCCCCTAGGTACCAAGTAGAAAATGACATAAGAAAACTGGGAAGAAGGAAGGAGGATGCAAGATGCAGAGATGTATGGTGGCAGTGTGCTGGGGAGGCCAAAGTACCATTTAGGGTACCAGTGGCCACAGCAAGTAAGTACCTAAGTAAGTAAGTAAGTATTAATATTACATGACTAGTGAACCTGTTGCTCGAATTAGAGCAATTGCAAAGTATTACAGACAGGTGTTATTTCAAAACGAATAACAGTCTTAATTTCCGATTACTTAAAAGAGTGAACTCAAAGATAATGTAATCAATCACTCCACTCCAGTTATGGAAACTGAAAACGAATTCACTCTAAAAACAAACTCTCATGAGTGTATCATGTGTTTACTACGAATAGCTGTAATTAATAAAAAATTTTCGTCTGTATAAGTAAACAAAATCATTTCTCGATAAGAAATAGGGGTTTTGATGGCCTGTAGGGCAAAGCCCGAGGAGTTTATTACAGGAATTGGTGAAAGGGGGCGTCTACACAAAAATACTTAATTTTGACACATCGTTTGTAAAAATCCGTCCATTATTAACAGAGGAGTAGTGTTTCGTAGAAATCGCCTTCACGTATTATATATAAGGATTGTCCAGGCTTTCTCGATTTTTTAAATTGTAATATGTACGAATGTAAATTAAAATAGTAAATATTTAATTTCAACAAAATCTGTAAATAATGTACCCAATGCGGTTCATTGAATTGAAAAATAAATAACAGCAATTAAATTATGCAGCTGAGTAAAATGTAAACAATTATGTTCTTCATAAGGATTACATGGGAACTTTAAAAGCCACTGGGGCAGAGCCCAAGAGACTTTTAAAAAAATGTAAGGTCAGTTTGCAAATCTACGCGACACGCTCTCTCCAATGAGACGTCAATGGATAAAATCGGTTAAGAAATGGCAGAGGAGTTCAACCGACAAAGTTTCATGTAGCGTATTAATTATATAGATTAGTCTGAGACTGAGAATTCTATCCATGGGCCTACTATAAACCATTATATATTCAATCACTTAACATTAGAAACAAATAGATAAACTGTTAAGACCAGAAAGATTTGAATGTCAACCTGATGTTCTCCCAAAGCAGCATTTGAATTCAAACATTGGTTGAAGACTTTTGAAAATTAATTATGTATCCTCTGTTGATGAAGTAAGTTTTGCGTAAAAACACACACAAAATAAAACAAAATAAGTAACAAGAACAAAAACCAAAAACTACTCATGTAATGTTACAATGTGCATACCACATGCAACAAGAGGTTGACCATTGTAGTCAAAATCATGGTAAAATGTTCTGGATGTTGCCCTTTTGGCCAGGATCAAAAACAGCAACGGTAGAACTGCTATCTTTTGCAGGCAACTCAAAAGGCATGCAACTACTTCTTGAGCCCATAGCACATCACATGCAGAATATGGCTGGGTGCTTATAGTGCTCGCCTAAGAATGAAAAGGTTGCACAATTGATCCTAAAAAAGTCAGTAGCTTTTTGGTGGTTCGAAACTGGACCCAGCTGTCGCCTGATCATTGAGCTTTAAATCAAATAACCCTGACTAATAAAACAGATATTATTAGTCAGTAAAAAAGCTACACAGATCATCTCACTCCATTCTATACTGATTCTTAATCATATTTATTTGGGTAAATAATATGCACCTAGGTGGTGTTCGCATCTCAATAATGAGAATAAGACTATAGACTAACCAACACAAGTAGACTTTTCATCCCATTGTACATTTTGAAGCACGTTTTTCGTGTCTAGTTCATGTACAGTGACACTGGGCGCTAGTGTTGAAAATATTTTGTTCCTATTATTTTAGGGTTAATCTAGATTTGTGCTTTACTGTTATCTATATAAAAGGCAAAGCCCTCACTGACTCACTGACTCACTGACACACTCACTCATCACTAATTCTCCCACTTCCCATTTACCTAGGAGGCTGAAATTTGGTACATTGATTCTTTAGGCATTAAATAGGAAAACTAAGTTGTTTTTATTCTGATCGGACTCTCGGGCTCCGCCCCAGTGGCTCTGGAGTTTCCCATGTTAGCCTTATGATTTTTCATATTTAAAAGGAATTAATGAATCTTAACAGCTGTTTCAATTAAACAAGTTGGTTCTGTTCTATGATGTTCAATTGCATTAAAGTTACAATGATTACCAACAGGGTGCAGCACTATTATTTATTTTAATTTATGACAACAGCTAATTTACAACCAAAAGGTGAGTGAGCGTAGCGAACGAACTTCAACCTGGAGACGAGTTAGCATAGCGAACGAGCTAACCTGAAGGCAAGTGAGCGCAGCGAACGAGCTCCAACCTAAAGGTGAGTGAGCGTAGCGAACGAACTTCAACCAGGACGTTATTGAGCCATGGGAACGAGATCATCTTGAAAATTAAGAAGTTAAACGGGGCAAAGCCCGCGGGTACAGCTAGTACTGTATAACTAGGGGATAAGTTATTGTTTATGATTAGATCGTATTATTTGGTTAAACGAGGTTTTGAATGACTGTAATAACGGGAAACAAATTGTAAACAAAACAGAACCTCTACATAGACCCTACGGAACTAACAATAAAATTGTCATCAGCTGTTCCATAAGGATGAAAAATCTACTAAGGGAGTATGTTTTAACTATGATTTTTATCTTTATACTATGTCAAGTGCCAAAATATTAACACAGGCAATTAAGCATTATCTTGTTTTGTCAGTGCAAACCCCTGTACACTGTATAGGAGTTTTCCATTAC